GTCTATTGGCTAACAAATAAGGGAGAGACCTTGGCTTTCATCTCTGGGCTCCTTTCCCTGGCTCTGTGACCTCCTCCTGGGGGATGGCCATTCTTCTAGAACACTGGTGCCAAGGGGAGGGGCTGGAGATTTGCATGGTTTTCCTGCAACTGCCGAAGGAATGCAGTTTGTCTACCACAGCCAAACTCTTGCTTACTTAACTTCTCAAAGCTGGATGGTGAACACAGACCAAAAATCATGCTTAGGAGGTGGTGATAAGAATTATAACCCTCAGTTTAATTCTTTATCTTTTATTATACTGTAGGAATGCAAGAATTTTTAAAATAGTTGGCCCTTCAATTTTTTTCTGCCTTTTTATTATTTTCTTGACCGGATATTGTGCTAGAATTCAAAGACTTGTTGCTCCTCCTCTGAAAGCCAAACATTCACTTGTCAAAGTCTGACCAAGTATCATACAGCAGCGTATGATTTTTTTTATCACTGCAAAGAGTGAGGTTTAATCAAGTCAGGCAAATAAGATCAACAAAACTGTCTACAGAACAAAATGGAAACTACCTCTACTTATATAATCATGTCCCCTGTCCAGGTCATCGAGAGGAATGCAGACCCTGAGGTTAATCTGTTGTTCTATCTGAGAAAAGTCAGTATCCTTTTGCTTGTTGGTGAAAACAGAACAAAATTTCCAACTCTGGGAACTGTGGTCTCTCTTGCATTTACAGAACCGTTTCCACCACATTTCACGGAGAATGTTTTGCTTGTGTGTAGGAATCTCGAAGCTGCTTGTCTTGTAAACGGGACTGGATGTCCGAATGTCTGCAAGTCTAAGGATCCCCTGGGGACGGTGGTTAAAACGTGAAGTTCAGAAGCAGGAAAGGAGCTCAGTAGGGAAAGCGCTTGCCGCACAAGTGTGGGGGCCGGAGTTTGGGTCCCCAGAAATCACACAAAGCCTGGCATGGTAGTGTCCATCGTCTGGTGTTCTTTTGGCCAGATGGGGAATGAAGAGAGTAGAGTCTCTGGACATTCCTGGGCTAGCCTGGGGTAAGCAGTACAGCAATGAGCAAGATACTGTTTCAAGACAAGGTAGAGGGCTCACAGCTGACGTTCTCCTCTGACCTTGATATACATACCAAGGCATGCTTGCATGTGCATGTGAACACACGTGCACGCATACACGCACGCGCACGCACACACACACACGCATGCATGCACTCCTCATTTGTTCACAAGCTCACAGCAAACAGCATTAAAGTCTGTCAGGGGTTCTCCTTGGATGTTCCCGTTCATTGCCTGGGGACAGGCAGTTTCTAAACTAGACCAAGATAGGATGAGGCACCAGAGGTCACCTAGAGATTGGAGTTTGGGAACCTGTCAAATCCTCCTCTAGAAGGCAGACTAGCCAGTTGGGAGGTTTTTCAGAATAGTTTTGTATTCTTGGAAGCAGGGCTAGATAAATCCATATTCTTCAAAATCTCTCTGTGTATAATATGTATTGTATGTGTGTGCATGTGTGTGTGTGTATGCATGCATGTATGTGTAAGTGTGCATGTGTGTGGATATGTGCGTGTGTGCATACATTCACATGTGTATGTGCATGCATGTAAGTGTATGAGCATGTGCCTTTGTGTGTGTTCTTTCCACACGGGAATCGAGAAAGAGCTATCAATCTGTCAATCCTGTCCGTGTCCGGGCCGGGTGAGGTTTTCCTTGATTTCACACCCGCATAACTAGCCAGATGTGTGCTGTTTTCACCCATTGACTACTCAGGCAATGAACGGGAACATCCAAGGAGAAACCCTGACAGACTTTAGTGCTGTTCCCTGTTCGCTTGCCACCTGTGGTTCGGGAGACACAGAACGTAATGTAGAAGATGGGCAAATGTATTGTAGGCTGACAGGACACTCCCAGGAGTGAGGGTGGACAGTGGCCAAAAGGACCACTGTGCCAATATGCGTGTTTAAGTGGGTTGTTATAGTCTCGTCCTCATGTCTCTGGAGCAGACAGTGTTTTGAGGAGCATTTCCCAGTCCAGGTGATTGACAGGCCCATTTGGAGTAACTACTGAAGAAGATATATCTTTGCTCTTTATCAGAAAGCTAATAATAATCATACAGTCTCCCTGGTAGTTCATAAAAATCATGTCTCCATATGGGGTCAGAGCTACAATACAGATATACAGATTTATTTACTTATTTATTATTGATTTACCCAAAATCACATAACAGAGTAGGTTAAAAATAATTAAAGAGAAAAATGAAAAAAATATCTATAAAATGGCCTGGCTTAGCCTGGGGATGGAGCTCAATTGATATGGTACATACCTACCATGCACAAATCCTTGGGTTCAGGCCCAGAACCACACACACATAAACCAGGTGTGGTAGTACCTGCCCATAAGCCCTGCACTCAGGAGGTGGAGGCAGGAGGATCAGAAGTGCAGTGTTACCTGAGACTCTGTTCTGAAAACAAAGTGAAGAGGAAAAGAGGCCCCACTTTCCCGGGAGGAAGTAGCCCGTGCAGGATTCAGGAAAAGCCTGCTCCGTCCACCTGCCTGACCTTTACCTGCACTTCAGTTCTCTCCTCACATGGTATTTTAAATCTTAAGGTGGGGCAATTGGGACATTTCCCCTTCCTGAAGAACTGCCACGTCAGCAGGGCCGTAGTGACTGGGTCCCAAACTGATGGTGAGAAAGGGACCCTTCCTTGACGACCTTGAAGCATGCTCATTTCTTCTGTTGTGCTTTTATTGGCCTTGTGTCCCTATAGGTAATCATGGGCCTCCCGTGATGTTTTCATACACCTATACTGTCCTTGGGGTCACCCCATTACCCTCCCCTCTGCCCCTCCCACCCTTGATGACCTCCTTCCTCTCCCCAGCTTCCTTCTCTTCTGCTTTTGTATGTATATTTTCTTTTCTATGACTCAGTGAGCTCCACGAGGGTTGCTTACGGGACCACGGGTACGGGTTATCTACCAGAACATGGACACCTGAACCAGTGGCTTCGCCCCTGAAGAAAACGTCTCTTCCTCTCCTGTCAACCGTTAACTGTCTATAAATCCTCAGAGGCGTGGTGCTGCATGAGACATCCCAGCCCCGATGATAGAATATCAATGGCACCATGTTAATAAATAAAGTTGCCCGGGGGTAGGAGCTATTAGCAAGCCATAGGAAAGCAGGGCAGTGGTGGCGTATGCTTGTAATGCCAGCACTTGGTAGGCAGAGCTAGGTAAGTCTCTGTGTGTTCAGGGATACAGCCAGTATTGGATACACCTGCCTTTAATCTCAATATCAATCATAGAAAACATAGAGATCTATACAGACAGGCCATGACGAGGCGGTCATGTGGTTGGGTTTACAACCAATGAGAAGGCAGAACAGAAACACTATAAAAAGACAGATACACAGGAAGTAGCTCTGGTTCGGAGTGGTAGGACCACCGCAGGAGGAAGGGTAAGGTTGTAGCTCTGAGCTCTGACCTCTTGGCTTTCTTCTTTGCATTGGTTCTGTGTTTCTTATTTAATAAGACGGTTGGTTACATCTCCAGTACCACTCTTGTGCAAGTCCTGGCAGGTGGTCACAGATGCTCTCTGAGTTCAAGAGTCCAACAGCCATATCATACCCAGGAGACAGCCTCTTCCACCATGACCCCTAAATCTTAGAGAAGGTGATGTCCTCTTAGATGTCCACCTATGACTGAGCATCAACGGTCACTCATTTTCATCACTTTGACCAACTATGAGTCTCTGCAGTTGCTGCTGCCCACTGAAAAAAGAAAGAAAAAAAAAAGAACCATTTTGGACCAAATCAGACAGCAGCACTCATCTATGGGCATGAGCAAAATTATTTAGAAGGCAGTCTGACAAGTGTACCAAGTCCATTTACCAAAGCAGCAACAGCTACTTCCCTACTTCAGCCTATGACCTCCTCAGTCACAGGCTTTTGACAGTGGGCCATTCAAATCCAAGCAGAGTCGTTGGTTACCCCAATGACAGACTAGCCACTGCTGTACTAGTGGACACATCCTGCCTGGTCAGCCGATAGTGTTGTAGACGGCTGAATAAAAATACTGATGACGATTGTCCCCAAGTAGCCTGCAGAGCATCTTCAAGGACTGCGAAAGACTTGCTGATTTCTAAACTAGCTACCAACACTGTGTCTACAAAGAGTTACATCCCTCTGTCCTCCCCGATGTCAACTCAAGAATGAACTGAAAGCTTAAAGAGCTTTCTGTCAGGTGACTCTCAGTTTCCCTGGCCTCTTTTTAGGCCAAGCACACCAACTTTTATTGTGGTTTTGGTTTGGGTTTTTCTTTCCTACCTTTCTGTTTCCTTGACCAATAGAGGTTGTGTTGCGGAGTCTC